ATTTTCCTGGGGATTAGGCAGGGTTTTTTCTTCTATAGAAAATGAAGGCCGTGAAAGCCTTCGACAATACATCTAATGGCTCTCTTTTTTTTATAGCATGACATATGAATTGCAGTTGGGGTCTCCAAATTGGTGTAGATAAGTAAAGGGAAGTAATTAATAAATTAAAAAGGGATGGACTCATACTCTGCCTAAACAGTTTATATAGATGCTTGGTGGTCATTCTAAATGTACAAGAGGTGTTGTAGAAGTTTTATGCTCATCATTGAATAAGAAATAATGGACGTAAAAGGCAGCTTTTTACTACATCCTGACAGATTACGTGATTAGCATCTAATGTTTTTGATGCTCATCAGGGGGCTCTGCAGGTTTCCAGGATACTGCTGCAACAGATAATGGAATATGAAAACTCTATTTGTGAAGTTGTGCTGTAGAGATCAGATGGGATTGCTGGTTGTGTACCAATCTCTGTATGACATAGCAGCTTCTTTGCCAAAACTGCTTGACTCCATGGCTGGGCTGGTGGTGGAGTTCCCCAGGCTGGGATATGGTGCTGGGGGATTTCAACCTATTTTCACTTCGCCTGGAGCCAGTGGAGGCTTGGTAGTTCATGATCATGATCCAGGTTATTGGCCCAACACACAGTGGGGGTCAGATGTTAGATCTGTTTTTTATCTCATGGCAATGGCAATGTGACTTTGAGTTGGGGTATGATGTCATCTGTCCCTTGTTGGGGACTGATCACCCTCAGTTAGCCTTGGAGTTTTCTGTGGCTGCCCCCCACAGCAGGGAAGAGGGACCTGTTTGATCAGTCTGTCCCAGACGCTGGTAGACCCTGTGGGGTTTCAGAGGAAGCTTTGGGTAATCCCTGAAGCTCAAATGCACTGTTTGGCTGAGGCTTTAGTTGCTGCTTGAAACGAGCAGGCAATAGTGGCCTTGGATCAGATCACATCTATGTGAACTCATTGTGTCTGTGGATCCTGGAGGGTCCCCTGGTTCTTGGAGGAGCTTTGGGAAATGAAGTGGCTCAAGAGATGATTAGAATGCCACTAGAGGAAGACAAAGTCCAAGTCCAATTGAATCTGCTATTTGGAGTACCATATGGGACTGCTCTTGAAGAGCATTTGGAACCTTCAGCTGGTTCAGAATGCAGTGGCATGTGAATATACCCATGTAACACTGCTACTATATGAGTGTAGGCTTCGGGGTACAATTTAAGGTGTTGGTTTAAAGCCCTATATAGCATGGGACTTGTGGGACAGTCTATCCCTGATGGTTTTTGCCCATCTCACTAAATCTGGCAGTAGGAATGATCCAGGTCCCTTAGGTGAAGTAGTGTCACCTGTTGGATCCTAGGTGGACCATAAAATAAGAAAGGAATCAAACTTTGGATCCATTTTTTGATATAATGCTAAATTATATCCTCAAATTTGTAATACTTTGCAAGATGACAAGTATTTAACTTAGTGCATATTTAGCATTCTACTAAACCTTCCAAATGTGAAAATAATTATTTCCTCCATGATACACAGAAATGCTTCTCTTGGCTAGATATTCCCTGACTTTTCATTCTCTGATCTAAAATTAAAACAAGTGACATAGCTACTATTACAACTTCAGGCCCCTGAGAAATGTACTGGCAGAGTTTTTTCTTTTTTTTATATTAACATAGAATTGATTATAGCATTATCTTTGATATGGGACACTGCCAGGAAGTGCATTTTGATTTGATCCAACTGAATTGAATGGAATTTTATTTTAATTTCATAGGATGTAAGATTTTGGATAGCTAAACAAGCTTGACATTTTCAGTGTCAGCTTATGAATGTATGGCTACTAAAGCCTACAAGTTCAGCATTAAAATATGAATTATTATAAATATAAGGCAGTTGGTCCTATATTTTCAAATATAGTGTTGAACCATAAGTAGCTTATTTTGTTTTGTTCTAGAATAATGCATGAATGAAGTTACTGTGGTTTGTAAGGTTTAACATTAAACAGTGTGGTGCAATCAAAAACTGTGTTAGAACAAATTATGGTTTAGCATCAAGTGTGTGTGAACCCCATAATTGGGTAATTTCAGTCCTTTCTCATTCAGGCATACATTTTTCTTCTCACTTGTCTTACCTAGGGTTAAAGATTATGTTACACAATCTATAACATAGTGTTTTAAGAATAATCAAAGTTTGATGTTCAAACAGAGGCTCAACTTGTTTCAGCTCTTTAGTTCATCAAAACCAAGGTGGCATTAACAATGGCAAAGGCAATTCTATTTGAGGCAGTAGGATGGTTAACTAATTTTACTTTCCAAAGAACTAGCCATATTAATTTGCTGAAGCAAAAGAGACAAAGAGACTTACAACATCTTATGATATGCTATTATAAAGATTAAGATGTCACAAGACTCTCTGATACATACATTCAAATAAATAAATATACATAGATTCTTTAAAGCCAATAAAATAATGACCAAATAATATCGATTAGACTTTGTAGACAATCCTTTAATATGACAATCATTCAAGTTTATGCTCCAACCAATGATGCAGAAGAAGAGGAGGTTGATGACTTCTAAGATCAAGTTCAATTTGAAATTGACAGAACATGCAAGCAAGATGTGCTGCTTGTGATTGGTGACTGGGATGCCAAAGTTGGAAACATGAAAGAGGAAAATGTAGTTGGATTGTATGGTTTAGGAAACCAAAAGGGAGTGGGAAACCGACTTACCAATTTCTGCCACTCCAATGATTTCTTTATAGCTATATATAGCTATATATACAGCTGTCTTCAAACAACCAAAATGATGCCTCTATACATGGACATCACCAGATGGAATATATAGAAATCAAATTGACTATATTATTGCTAAAAGGAGGTGGAGGAGCTCAATTATAGCATCAAAGACATGGCCAGATGCTGATTGTGGAACCGATCATGAACTGCTCATGTGCAAGCTCC